AGTTCAGTGAAATACAACCAGGGCTCCAAATTCACCCCAACTCTTGGCTTGTTCTATCCATGCCCCCAACCTCTCCATCTTTCTCTCTCCATCTCTCTCTCTCTCTCTCTCAAACACACAAGCGGTTCATCAGGACCACTGCTGGCCCAGCTCTAAGGAACTGACCCAGAGCACCGCCGTCCTTCCCGGCAGCAGCAGAAGCAACCACGCTGGGCCCAGCGGTCAGGGTTGGAGTTCACCTCGGAAAGCCTGCGCGGCCTACCGGGGGCAGTGGCTTGAGCTAAATCCTCTGCCCTACTCCGAGTTAACAGTGTCCTCTCCCTGCTCTCTCCCAGGGAAGGTGCCTCTCCCGAGTCCCCAGAGCAGAGAAGGTGGGCGCACCAGCAAAGCTCCTGCAGCTCCAGAAGGCACCGGTGACCCCCGGGGCCCTCAGCCGCCAGAAACTCAGGGAGGTACCAAGGCCAAAATTTCTCCTCCCAGTGGCTGTTGGCTCCAAAGAACCTTGTGCGTAACTACAAATGGAGGGAGGCAGGGGCTTAAATTCACCCAGAAGGCAGCTGCTCAGTGCAGGGAGGCCGCTAGGGCCCAAAACCAGGGATGAGGGGCAGGAAGGGAGAGGAAACCAGAGTGGCTTCTCTGGCCCGCCTCCCCTCGTGGGTTTGGGTGTGGCTGGGTGGGGGGGAAAACTTGAAACCATCCTGTGACTCTAGGATGCTAGACATAGGTCTGGTGGTCCCTGGAGGCGCCTGGTCTTAGCACAGGGTCAGGGAGGCAGGCGCTGAGTGGCAGGGGAAGGAGCTAGCGTCCCCAGGGCTGCTGTGCTGGCAGCACTCCCCCTTCCTTCAGCGCAGATCCGGCCATGAGAAAGTCCCTCTTCCATGTGTCCAGGACCGACTATCCCAGGTCCAAGCTGGAAAGGAGGAGAAAACCCACCAAAGTCTGGCTGGGGCGTCTCCACTGGCACGAGTAAGAAAGCTCTTTGGAGTGGGCCAGGCTCCCCTCGGAAAAGGCAGAACCCCCTGGGAGCGTGGGTTTGAGGTCCAGGCCAACTGGAATGACAGAGGACAGAGGGAGCGCCCACCCTCCCCATCTGTACGGTCGCCTGCGTGAGGGGTGCACGACAGGCTGGCTCTGTTCCCTGTGGCCGGACCCCGGGACCCTCCCTCCGCTGCGCTGACCGCTGCGGAGGCCACACGTGGGGCCCTCACGCGGCGGGAACCCGCGGCCTGAGCTCGGTGCCTCTGGACAGAGACAATCCCCCGCCTCCTTTCAAACTTCCGTCCCTTCCCGACTGTAGACGAAGTGACCGACGCGGAAGC